TCTTGAGTATGTCAGCTGTATTTTTCATGTCATAGTGTATCCTACGTATTATTTATCGCTATTCTACTATAAAAACTATTATCCGATTCAAAATAAAAGTCTATCTGGCCATTTTTTGAATAACTTTTGATAGGCACAAGAGAGAAAGCTGCGGTTTTCACTATTAAAAAGAGAAGATCCAGGGGCATAAATCATGCTGAAATCTGATTGGTTTACAATAGACCAATCAGGTTGTTTCTCGGTGGACATTTTGAAAGCAATTTTGTGGAGTTATTTCTCGATTCAAGAGTTATAAGGGTTTTCCTGAGACGCCTGGTTTCAGCTATTGAACCTTGGATCATCCTGAAAGGCATCTTGAATGGGGTAATTCATCATCCTGAGTCGAATGGTGATATTTGTTTTTGGATTCTGCAGTATCTGACACTGTTGTTTTACAATTATTGCTAAATGCTATCTCATTCGATACATAACGGCAGATTGTGAAAATTCGAAAAATTGAGAAATAGCAGTGTCAGATACTTTCGAATCCAAAAACAAATATCCCCATTCGACTCAGCATGATGAATTACCCCATTCTAGATGCCTTTCATGATGATCCAAGGTTCAATAGCTGAAACCAGGCGTCTCAGGAAAACCCTTATAACTCTTGAACGGAACAAGTTAGGAAGAGCTGCCTTGTAATATCATTTTCAAAATGTTCACCGAGAAAAAACCTGATTGGTCTATTGTAAACCAATCAGATGTCAGCATTGATTTATGCCCCTGGATCTTCTCTTTTTAATAGTGAAAACCGCAGCTCTCTATCTTATTCCTATCAAAAGTTATTCAAAAGATGGCTAGATGCCTTTTATTTTGAATCGGATAATAGTGTTACCTTTACAAACTTTACAAATATTTGAATTTCGAAGTCACTGAACAATGAATAAAGAAAATGGGCCTGTTATTGTCAGAAACCAAAACATGTCAGCAATCAGATGAATATCAGAGCTATTTTTCGAAGCACAACAGTTTGTTTGCTTTCATTTTACCAAAAGTACAGTTACAAGTCAACAAATCACAGTATCATAGTATATTTTCTCTTGCTGACCACGTATAAAGCACTCACACTCCCATCCTTGCGAAATCCACAACTATTTACAATACAAGTTTGACTGCTCATCTGTATTCATCAAGAGCTATGTATGTAAACGTTTTTAGAGTTGTAATGATTGAACTGGCTAAGATCTAAAGTGGGAAAGGAGACAGTTTTAACTAGTAGTATACTATTCTTCCCGTTTTATACGATTTTATTCTGACAGCTGTTTTGTACATACACCGAATGAACGTCAGATAAGCAGAATAGTTCGATATAAAGCAATTTATACTGTTTTGCTGTTCTGACTTTAAACCCATTACACTACTTAAAACGATTTACTCAACATCGAAATATATGACGAAAAAAATTCCAAACTCTATGTAATCTATACGATTCCTTCATCAGAAATGACCCGTCATAAGTCGTATTGTGTCTATCATGTACATTTTATATTGTCTCTACCACATCGAATTGTATTCTCTGTATCTTCGCCGTATCCAAGATACCAGAAGTCCCTTTTATCCCCTCTGAAAGCGAGTCAGTGATGAAAACTTGACAAATGAGTTGTCGAATCGCGACGAAAAAACTTGCGAGCCTATTGCAGAGATGATACTGAATTTTGCGAGTCACGCAGTAGACGAAAAAGATACGGCTGCGACATGAGTTAGGGGCCTTGAAAGGAAACGACGAAAATCCTTTTTGGAACACTCAATGCTAAAAACTACCTACTGACTGCGATGATTTCTGATTAGAGAAGTATTAGAGCAGATGGCGTTACACTTTATTCTATTCATCCATACCATACAACCGTGTCGTTTACATAAAAAGCACGTGTTTATATACGCAACTACACTGAAAAAAAGGTGTCATACCGAACCACAATGGGATTTCGTGCTTGCTAAAACCCAAAAAGGTTTTTGAAAATGGTACGAAACCGAAAAACGTGTTCCCGTATACTAAGAAGCCTAAAAAGGTTTCGATTTTTGCAACGAAATGGTTTGGTATGATACCTTTTTTTCAGTGTATAGAAATAAGGAATAAGGATAGATATAAATGTTTAGGGATGAGTATGAGTAGAGAGAGCGCTGTGGGAATATCAAAAGAGATTGCCCCAAAAAGTGGGTTCTAAGACTAAATAGTTAGAAACATATAGACGAGATAGTAACTAAGACTCGGATGATCAGACAGATTTTTACGTATATTGGAATAGATCTTCAAGTAGAGATACATAAACAATATAGTAGCACATTGAATGTAGTCGAAAAGTCGTATAGCAAATCCTTTTTTCAAGGCATAAAGAGAAACGTCTCTACGCAGCACTGTTCGTATGGAACCTCAAAGGGTGTCGATTTCGTTGCAAAAATCGGAACCTTTGAAGGTTTTCTGTGACATATTTTTTGTTTTCAGTGTAGAAGAAGAGAGAAATCAAGGAAAGGATAGACATGAGCGAACAATGAGATAAAGACAGCAAAGTAAGAAATAGAAAGGAAAAAAATATGAGAATAAATGGTAAGGAAAGGCTAAATAATGTGTATAAAATTCGCTCAACCGGGAGCGTCACACTGACATTACTATAATCATTGCACTGTAGCATTTTGGGCAGGTCCTTGAGAATTTATTTGTAGATTAGCTTCAATGTTGACTCAGTAAAATCTCTTCGCTTTCATACACCACCCGAACAGAAAGGATGAGTGGGTGTGGGTCAGTGTGTGAGTTAAGAATATATCCACATCTTACATGAATAGCGGTGATAAACAAAAAAAAACCATAAAACTCCGCTGCTGCTGAAGAAATATTATGTAGAGATTTGTCAAGACTGATGATAGGATTAAATTTGACATTGAGCAAAGGATCTCATCAGGTTCTACTTGGCAAAAATCCTTGATTAGTTTGCACAACTCTTTACAGAAGCGTTACGCCCAAATGCTGATTTTTTCATCAGGAAGTTTTAAAAAGTAGGTTTTTGAAGTTTTAGCCGTTTTTCAAAATAAATAGTTTTTCAAATCTCTACATTCTATAATATATTCATTTCCATATCTCATACGAGCAAGATCTTTTCTGGTACAAGCCCGTAGGAGAATGTTTTCGAAAAAAAATTCAAATCTGTCATTAACTTTGTGTACATAATCAGTTCACACTTTTTCTCGAAACGAATCTAACCGTACCAACCTGAGTTTTAAAAAAGTTCAAACCGAGTTGATTCCATCTCTGATTTGGAGTCAACAGGCTTCATATAATTTTTAACGTCACTAGCTAAGGCAATAGATCGATTATCAGTCAAAAACAATAGAAGCCTATATGTATAAAGCAGTAATGCAGCTTGATCATCCATGTTACAACCATATTTATGTATTTTTTAATAATCCAGTTGCCAAACAGATTTTTTCTTATCTAACTGTATCACAACGAGTCCAGATATTCCTGCTTTTTTTCTAGCTTAGAAAGATAATTTTGTTTTTTTGGATTTTGGGCATTCTTTAACAAATGTGCCAAGAATCGAAAAAAACAGGATTATTCCTCAAGGACGAATTAAAATGTTTTTTAAAAAATCAGGAAAATCAGAACCCTTACAATGTATGCTTCTCTATGAAAATTCAAACGTTCATTCAGAACACACAATTACTCAGCATCGACAATATTGTTCACAATCTCATCTGTTCACCATTGCTCTCAGTGATTTTGAAGTTCGCGATAAAAATCTCATCCAAGGCATTTATAAGTATTTCGTTAACGGTTTTTCTGTTTTCTTAGATCTCGACGAATAAAACGGGGGCCGATTCTAGGTATCTCATGTTTGATTGTCTAGTAAATTTGGATCTCAGTCACAGTTAGATAGATGATATCTGATCTTCTAGTTAGTTTGAACGCATATACTAGGTAAATGTCCAATATCTGCCTTCTGCTAGCTCTCCAAAATGAAAGGCATCACGCTACATTTCAAAATTATACACAGAAGTAAATATCTAATATCTGGCCTTCTGGTTAGTTTGATTATATACGATAGCATTTTCTTCAGTTGCTAGCCATTTTTGAAAACTTTAATAATTTCAAATTTTGCAAATTTTGACATGTAGATTTTAAAACTGGTATTAATTTAAGATTTGCCACGGTATGGTTGCACTGCGCACTTTTTTCAAACGCTAGTCATGATGCAAGTGTTGTATTCCATATTGCAAACATGAGGAGAACTCCTGTTATGTAACCTAGTAAACACATATCATTTGCATGTTGAAGACAACGAACCAAAAGGTATAACCTAGTTGTTGAGTTTGCGGCAGAATATGTTACATCTTCAAATTGTAATTAGAATTCACCTAATAGTTTACCTTACATGTTTCACATAAATGTCACGTTAATAGACTAGTCTAGACTGAAAACTAGAGAAAAACAAGAACCATTGTGATTCCAGTTAAAATAAAATATGAGTTACTTTTCTTCTTAGATAACAAATGACTTTAATGGTTGTAAAGTGAGGAATGAGGAGCTTAGAATTTTTAAAACTTCTGTTGTTTTTTATATTATGTATATTAAAAATGGAAAAAGCAGTAGAACTACATTGGCCAGTACGTTCATCCATGGTCAAGTTGATTGGCTTCTTTCCTTCACAAGCTGATAAACACTCAAAAACTAACATGTGGAGCATTCATTGTCGTTCTATGTTTAAATCAGCTGTTATATTGTCTCAACAATACAATATAACGTTTCAAGGACAATATCTTGATTATGAAGAAATCATAACAGAAGATGATGCTTTGATTACACTCGATCATGCGTGTCAAAAAGTATCAACGTCAAACATTGTTGGATTTGTTGGTCCAGCATATTCAAATGAAGTGCGAATTCTAACATTATTTGCATTTCGATTAGGAATATTAAGTATCTCGTATTCAGCTACAAGTCCTGGTTTATCAACTATTGACAATGGAGCATTCTATCATATAATTCCATCAGATGAAAATATTGTAATAGGTATAGCAGTATTATTTCAACAATACACATGGAAATCGTGTATAATTATATATCAAAATGATGATTATGGTTATAGTGGTATGAAATTATTGAGTCAAAAGTTTAGTGAATTGAATATTAAAATTTCAGAGAAAATTAAATTTGATATTCATCAACAAAATTTTGAAATTGATTTTAAAAAGACATTACTTGATAACTTCTCACGTATTGTTATTGTATGGGCCACTGCAACATCAACAAAAACAATATTGAATATGTCAATCCAAGAAAAATTAATTGGTCCATCTTTTGTTTGGCTACTAAGTACAACAGTAGCATTGGATGATTTCGATCTAAGACAAAAGCAAGAACTTATTGGAATACTTACTGTTGAATCTGTAGAAGCAGATTCTGTTGATGTACCAAGAAATATAACTCTGTTAAAGAAAGCATATGAAATATGGAAATATTATGAATCGGAAACCTTTCCTGGTGAGACAAATGTGAATAGTAATGCAATGTTTGCATTTGATGCAACATGGTCCTTAATATTGGCATTGCAGCAGTTATGTTCAATGCCTTTATCATGTTTAGAATTTAAGAATGTTTCAAATTATTATAATCGTCAATTTTTGAATTCGAAACAGTATTATAATATTATGAGAGCAATGACATTTTTAGGTGTGTCTGGTGAGGTGAAATTTTCTAACAGAACAACAGATCGTGTTGACAACACATACTATATGATTAACAATTTACAACCGTTAAGTGAAGAACTAAATGATATTGGTTATTTACCTGTATTAACATGGCATGTTGGTGCAAATGAATGGACATATAATAATAATAAATCTGATAGTATTTTATGGCCAAGTCGATTAAGAAATAGACCATCAGGTTACAAATTAATTCAAGGTAATATAATATATGTCTGTAATAATTTTTAAATTTTGGAAGAAATTAGGTTTTTTTTTGCTAAGATACATTTCTGAAAACTTTTCAAAATAATATTAATGAAGTATAAAAATGTCCAGATAAATAATATTTTCCTATACGAAAATCTATTCTTATTTATTTATTGGATTTGAATTGTAATCTTTGATTGTTACAAAAATAAAATCATCTATTTCTGAACTTCTTTCTGTACTTTTGTTTTTAGGTCAAGAATTACGAATGGCTATTATTGAATCACCACCATTTATAATATTGAAAAATGCAACTGCTACGTACTATAACATGACACACAATTATAAAAACATAAATATAACAGAATTTGATGGCTTTTATAAAGATATACTCTTATATTTACAAGATAAAATGGGTTTTTCTCCTATTATCATGTTAGCTAAACCAAGTACACAATACAATGAATTAGTTGAGGGTGTATCAAAAAATTTATTTGATACAGTTATGATTACTATAGTTATAAATGCCAAACGAAAAACCATGGTTGATTTTGGTACACCTATTATTCCTCATTCTATTAGAATTATTATACGAAAACCAAGATCTGTTCAATTAGATCCTCTCTTTTTTTTAAAGCCATTTTCTTTGGACGTCTGGTTATTTATACTTGCTACAATACCTTGTACTGGTGCATTAATATGGTACTTTGAGCCAAAGGAAAAAAGAAAATCTGTAACAATAATACACACTATTAATTTTATAATTCATACTGTACTCGATAAAGATCATTCTTTTACTGCATCAACGGCTTCTGGAAAATTTCTGACACTTGGTTTACATATTTTACAAACAATATTATTCGCAGTATATACAGCTAGTTTATTGAATTATTTGATGATACATAGCTTTAAACCAATTATATCAGGAATAGATGATATAAAAAATAGTAAAATACCACCAAATCGAATAGGAATCATAGAAGGTTCGCATGTAGAACAGCAGTATTTAAATACTCTATCACAAGGTAGAAAAGACTATTATCCATTAAAGACAGTAAATGAAGTTTACTCACGCTTAATAGATGGCAAGATAGATGGTGATATTGATGCTGCTCTATGGCTTAATGGATCGATTGCCTATCATATAAATAATATATATTGTGATCTTATGACGATCGGTGATGACTTTGGTCAAAATTATTATGCCTTGCCAGTACGACAAGATTGGTTGTATAAAGCAGCTTTAGATTCCAATATAGTATCAATAATTGAGTCAGGGGAACTTGATCGTATATCAGCAAAATGGTTTGCATCACATAACTGTAGCCATCAACAATTATCTGAAAAAACGAAAATCACAATACAAACAATGGAATGGTTAATTTTTGCATTTCTTACTATTATTGCTCTGTCCATTACATTGGATATCTCATCAACTAATGTGCAATTTTTCGTGAAAAGGATACGCTGTTTTATAAGACAGATAATCGGTGAGATATACTAAATGGTTGGCATGGCTGAGGAGTAGAAGTAAAACTATTATTGTAATCCAAACCGAAGACTTATTTCACAGATATTCTTCGAATTTCTTTTTTTCGTTTGAGTATTAGATAGTTATATGAGATATTTGTTGCAGTACTTTACAAAAAAAAACGTTTTTTATAGAACCTTTTAATGCTCAGAAAAGGTTCGACCTTCTCACCCACATCTTCTTTTTCAAGTATTCTTATTATTTATTTTCAGAATAGGTCGGCAGATATTCATGGATTGATCATGTATCTGGACTAGCTCTCATGATTCATTCAGTCTTATAAACGACGTCATCTGTGAGACGAGAGAAAGTAATTAAAGCTCGAATCGCATAATTTTTCAGTACTGAAATATATGTACTTGGTACTATCTGTTTTTTCTTCAGCACTTCTTTTACCGCTCCATTGCCGATTAATCGATGTGCTATCATACTCTATTTTTTTTCTCTATTGTTTAACATGTTGTCTCTTTCAGATTGAGTCAAATCTTTTTCTTCATTTACTATGTCTATTTCTTTGCACATCATATTCTTCTTTACGATTACTGACATTAAAGAATAGAAAAGATTATGATCCATCACTCTTGCAAAAAGAAAAAGCACAAAATCTTTCGAAAAGTTTATTGAACATCACTTTGATCTTCTTACTTCATTTCTTATTAATCATAGTAGAATGTTAAAATAGTGACTAACATGTATCGATTTTAGAATTATGGTGTTTTCATTGTGATATACTTAGGACATAACGAAAGTGGTGGCGTCCATATTTTATTTTCGTATAGAATGCTTTAAAAAAAGTTTTCTTTTTTCTGAACAGATAGAACGTCCTTCACTCTATGTTTCTATGCTATTTGATTACTATTCAACTGATATCATAATAAGTCGGACAGTTTTGCATATCGTTTTATTATCACTTAATAGATTGTATGAAAAGAACAATATATAGTACAAGATGCAGAGTGAAAAGTTCTACAATCTATAAAGAACTTCTTATTTTATAGTTGCACTTTTTTTCAAAATGAGCAAAACTCTGAGCGACCAAATTTCGACGGTGCGAAAACAAGGTTCTTTTTTTGGTAAAAGATGAATTCGTTTTCTCTTATCTCATCCTTCTATTACCTGATTTACTGTATTAGAAAAAAAAACGAAATACACTACACGGTGCAGCATGAAAAATTCTACAATGTACAAGGAACAATTATGAAAAGATGCGATAGAAAAAAAGAATTCGTCTTCTAGTAAAAAATAATCTCGTTCTCGAAACGTTGAAATTCGATCGGTCAGAATTTCGTCTATTGTGAAAAAAAAGTGCAACTATAAAATAAGAAGTCCTTTATAAATTGCGAAGCTTTTCACCCTGCATCTTGTGCTATATTTTGTTTTTCTAATACAACCTCTTAAGTGATAAAAAGATGAAATGCAAAAGTGCTCAATTTTTTAGGCCACACCCATCATGATCGAATTGGTATTAGCTACTTTGCAACAAAGCCAGTTTGTATCAAAATTTTATTATTATGATATCAGTTGGATAGTAATCAAATGGCATAGAAATATAGAAACTTTTGGTATGCTCTAAAAATTTCTTTTACTTCGATTATTTTCCTATCGCACGAGGAGTGGCAACAGCTTAAATATCATCGGAATTTCAGTTTCTCTTCTTGTATCGAAAGATAATCAATCGTAATTCTAAACTTATTCTGTTTTGATGTAACAACAAGTGTATGATGTTCTATTATAGGTAAAAATGTAACTGTTGACCAGCGGCTTCGATTGGTAGCCCGAAAATATGAAATATTAGACGCAGATATTGATAAACTTCACAAACTAAAAGATTTCGATATTGCTATCATTTGTGATGATTCTGGTTCAATGCAAACTCCTATTATAGGTACTCAACGTACTCGTTGGGATGAACTTCGTGAATTCGTACGTCTTATTGTCGAATTTGGTGTTGTATTCGATTCGAATGGTATTGATATTCACTTCCTTAATAGACCGGATGTTCACAGAATCACCGAGCTGGCAGAGTTAGAACAACTATTCAAAGATCCTCCGTATGGTTATACTCCCCTGACACGCGCACTACGAAAAATTCTGAAAATGCGAGAGACCTACCGAAGCCATGATAAGAAGTTATTGGTATTCATCGCAACAGACGGTGAACCGAGCGATGATTATGGTGAATCGAATTTGACAGAATTCGAACATGTTCTGCGTCTAGAGCGCCCATGGAATACTACTCATGTGATGTTTCTTATTTGTACCGATGAATCTACTTCCGTCAGTTATTTGAAGGAATGGGATAGGATAATGAGAAACGTTGGGGTTATTGATACATTTGAAAATGAGGGTGTGGGTGTGGGTGTGGGTGTGGGTGTGGGTGTGGGTGTGGGTGTGGGTGT